CTCTTTATTGTACTAATTTAGCAGCAAGAATGCAAAATAGAAGAATAACACACTCTTGCCAATACAATTATGCACACATTAGGAGTAAATTTTCAATAAATGAGCCTGTAGACATTTGCAATACACCTTGGCTATTCCTGATAAAGGAGCTGTCATCTATTCTAGGAGTGAATAGAAAGCATATTAAGCACAAATCTTTTTGAAATTATAGGAAGAATGTATGATCAAGTGTTACATCTTGATATTTTTATGAGCAAATTTGGCTTCATAGACAAAAAATAGCCAAGCTTGACCAGACAAAGGTGAGGAAACCATTATCCAGGGTTGCTACTTTGGAGGTCATGGACTCTGAAATTACATAATATAGACTAAAAGTGAGGGGTCAAGGACTATATTTCGAATTACTCAACAGTCTATATGAATTGATATGGTAAGGTTGTAGGGTCATCTTGTACTTCGTCTTTAAAAGCCTTTACATGGAAATTTCCTTCTCTTTATGTGACACAGTAGAAGGCCAAAAGAATTGTACATTCTTTGGTAAAATTTATAGCCCTGGATTTGTATCACACTACTACTAATTCCAGATCAGGTTCTACATTTAAATATGATGTAGGAGACATGACTGATAAGTGAATGAACCCCTTTGTAAAATTATTTTATAAAGGCAATTTCTCAGGTGTTATGTTTAAGTCATCAGGCTTTAAAGGCTGTATGTATCTGTCTTTGTATCAATATATGATTTATGAGGTTCTCATTTACAAGTGAAACTCCATTGTAACCATTATGATTAATTTTTTTTAGTTCTACAGCCAAGATAAGAAGCGAAGTTCTTTCTCCTTTTCGATCCCTCCGTATGTTCTTCTATCTTGCTTTTATTGGAAGTGGTTCTCTTGGAGGATTTATAGCCACATCACGGCTGATTGGAGCACTGGCAAATTCATCAAGAGCTGCTGAAGTTCCAGAGATCGCACAAGGTCTTGCTATAGACATTGGAGCAGTCTCCATATTTGCCTTTCTTTATTACAGGGAGAATAGAGCTAAAAATGCTCAAATAGCTAAACTCTCAAGAGAAGAGAACCTCTCAAATCTAAAGCTTCGTGTGGATGAGAAGAGAATTCTTCCTGTTAGTGATTTTAGAGGAATTGCTCGTCTGGTCATTCTTGCTGGTCCTTCATCTTTCATTTCTGAGTGTTTTAAACTCAGTGAACCATTTACTGATGCCCTTGTAGAAAGAGGAGTGCTTGTTGTTCCATTTGCTACTGATGGGAATTCACCTAGTTTTGAGTTTGAGGAAAATGAAGAGATGAGGGAAAAGAACGCCCGGAGAAAAAGGCTATGGCAGCTTTCTCCGGTTTATGTAACTGACTGGATCAAGTAAGTTACTATTAAAAAATAACTAAGATAGTCTGCTTTCGTAATATAATATCCTTTTCAAGCATGCTTGTGATGATTTTCAATATAGTGCTGAAAAATCTATGATGGAGGAAAAAAGATTCTTATGCCTTTTCTGTTGATTGCAGATGGATAGATGAACAAAAGAATATGGCTAATGTCTCCCCTGAGTCTCCTGTGTGAGTAATCTGCCCTTCTATGATGATCTTCCTCTTTAATACACTGAATTTAACTTTTGAGATAAAAACTTTTTACCTCAAGAACAAATGGACAATTGTTTATTCCCTTATCTTTAGGATGTTGTCATAAATCAAATTGTGAAACTCTATTTCCAATTGCATACTTTCAAATCATAAACACAATCTTTTATATGGTCTTTGTATATCTCTGACAATTTCAGAAATCTAGATTTGATTTTATGTGGGTGTTAGTTGTTAAGGCAAAATATTGAATGTTGAGATATTTACGTTTATGGTGTGCATAGGTATCTTTCTCTACGCTTGGATGGTCGTGTTCGTGGCAGTGGTGTCGGATACCCTCCTTGGAATGCTTTTGTTGTGCAACTTCCACCTGTAAAGGGACTATGGTCTGGTCTGCTCGATGGCATGGATGGAAGAGTTCTTTGAACTGAAATTAGACTTTACTATGAGCATGAATGAGATCACTCGTCAGTCAGCGTTAGCAGAATTTGTTCTCCCCTTCTTTCCATGTTTACCTTCTACTCCTTTTTCCTTGCTCTTTCGTTGAATGCAAGGCTACAGGAGAGCATGCATATTTACAAACGACAGGCATGGTTGGAATATAAAGGGGCTTCCCGTGTTTTGATTGTTAGTTTGGGCATTCCACATGATTGGGGTGCAAAACACCAATGAAATGCCTCTAGTCTTGGATATAATATGTAGTCATCCTTGTCGTAAACCTCGATGCTTTGTATAGAAGAATTTTCCTTCATAGATACAAACTGCTCTACTTTTATCCTTATGTGTCATTACTGAAATCTTCCATGTTATTGTTATATCAGTATCATTATTCCTGTGTATATCTAACACATTATTGTCCTTAATTCTAGCACTGCCAGCAGCCAGACCAGAGATTGGAACACCGGCAACAACTTCAAAGAGACATCAACTTATTAATGTCTTGAATATCTCAGTTCAGTATATAAATTTGCCATCTCATCAGGTAACACCTTTACTCTTCATCTTCTTCATTAGCACACAGTTCACATACGTTAGAGTTCTTTAAACTATTGTTGATAGTTGGCCATTTTAATGAACTCTAGGCCTGAATGTTAGACCGTGACAGTCTTTAAAATCATCTCTTTATTTCACTTGCAAGCAATTGTCGTTTCGTTATATGTATTTATTATAGCACAGATTGAGTAGAGAACAGATGGGAAAGAGACGGAAGCCACTGCTGAGAAGTATGATACACCATTTAGAATAGAACTAGCCATTAAGCATGAGAATATATAATCACACAAGACGCGATATTACAACATCAAAACATGACTCATACAACTTCTTCAATTTCATCCAATGCGTAGTTGTTGGTTGACACATTTGCGTAGTTCACCTTGTTAAACCGCACAACCACCGGGTAGCGAGTCTTAGGGTCCTGCATAGCACAAAGGGTATTCATTTAAGATTTCCAGCCCCATTGACATAGAAACTTCCCTATAAACGACAGGAAATTTATCATCTCAACAAAGCTTCAGTCTCATACTGTGGATTGGCTATATGAATTGTGCATTTTCATTCAACCTTTTGTGAAATGTTAACTGTCATAACTGCTTGCTTTAGTCTGTCTTAACAACATTAAACTACTTTTCACTTTTGTTCTGTACCTCTACCCTTTCTCCTATTAGTATCAAGCTACAAAAAGATGGCCATAGCAAAAAGAGAAGCCTACCTGATCAACTGCAACAACTGATCCAACACCCTTGTACCAGTAAGATTCCTTCCTCAGAATTCTCACCTGCCAACAATAAGTATACCAAGTCATGCATACCCTTAGTTAAAGTATGTTTTTGACATTTCGCTTGACTCTATACCAAATCAAAGTATATGTTTCGTCTCAATTAAAACAACACCGAGACTGCATACACTAGGTAAACCCCGTCTTGTGACCATAGCTAACAAAGTAAGCCAGTCACAAGGAGCTAAACCAGCCTAGGTTGTCATATCTGATCGGATCAATCCAAGAAAGTAGTTACTAAGCCAACAGTCTGACCAACTTGGCTGTAGCCCAGGATTGCATACATGTATATATTATGTTTAACTACCATACTTACCTTGGCTCCTCTTTTGGGTCCAATCGGTGGTGGCTTGGCAGCCTTAGGAGCAGGAGCAGCCCCACCTTCGGGGGTGGCGGTTGTGGTGGCTGCAGCCGGCGGCGCAGTCTCTTCGGAGGCCCTAACAACAAGCCTAGGGAAGGATGTGTTCTTGGAAGAGAACATGAGCATGCTAGTCCTCTGTGTGGTGTTGTTGTTGGAGGTGACAACATTAGGTGTCACCAACCCTGATGCAGCCGAAGCCAAGCTGCAACTCGCCATGGTTTTCCTGTCTGCGTTCTTAACAAATCGCTGTGGCAAATACAAGTATGAATCTGAATCTGAACAACAGAGATTAAGATTTGAGAGGCTTTGGGGTGATTGGATATCTTTTTAGTGGATTACAATCGCTCCAGAACAAGAGTGCCATTTGGCCTGACCACTAGGATGCTGCCACATCGTACCATATCCCATTCTTTTGGATAATGTCACTTTGTCATGGCATCTACTATTTGATACTGTTTTGTTTGGCTTTCTTTTTTTCCTTTTCTTTTCTGTTGTAAAATGTTTGTTCGACTTGGAGTTAATTTCATACAAAAAGTTTATTTTAAGTTGTCTTGACTATATATTTTAACTGATATTATTGGTTGATTAATTTCTTTTCAAATTACAATGATTTCTTTTTCGGTCTGCTGGAAGCCTGGATTTTTTTTTTAAATTTTAATTAAATTGAGAAAATAGGTAATGTGATCTTAGAGGAACCCACCCATTTTATATAATAATAATAATAATAATAATAAATTTGAATTTGAATTTGAACCTCATGATCTCTGTCCCAAATTCCAAATCAAATGTTAAATGAATTTGTAACTTTAATTGAAGTATGTGCCCATTTCAATTAAAAGTTTAAATTATAATTGAATTATATATTTTAACTGAAATTATTGGTTGATTAATTTCTTTTTCAATTTACAATGATTTCTTTTTCGGACCGATGGAAGTCTGGAATTTTATTTTATTTTATTTAAATTGAGAAAATAGGTAAATTGTGACTAATAATATTTTTTTGATGAATGCTCTCGATTTAATCTCAAAATTTCATATGAAAATGTGATCTTACAGGAACCCACCCATTTTATATAATAATAATAATAATAATAATAATAATAATAATAATAATAATAATAAAATTTGAATTTGAACCTCATGATCTTTGTCCCAAAACCAAATTAAATGTTAAATGAATTTATAACTTTAATTGAAGTATGTGCCTATTTCAATTAAAAGTTTAAGTTACAATTGAAAAATACATTTACATTTATCTATTATACACTCATCAAGACATCTCCTCATGTGTGTCGTTCATTCTCAAAAGCATTTCCCTTTCGGCCTTCTTTAGAGCCCTTCCTACAAACAGCTTCTTTGATCCTGGAATTGATGACAAAGAAATTAATTACATTAGCATACAATCAAATTCAGGCTTAAGAAATACTACATAATAATAAGCATCAAAGCATGCATGCATGCATGTATATAAGTACCTATTAGTTGACCATTAAGAGCTTCAAATGCCTTCCTAGCATCTTCATCTGAATCAAAGTTGACAAACCCAAATCCTCTTGAATTCCCTGCTTCATCCCTCATAATCACAACACTATTGACATTCCCATATCTAGAGAATTTCTCTCTTAAGAGATCCTCTGTCATATTGCAGCCGAAATTTTTTACATACAGATTTAGTGAAATTTTGCTCCTTTAATGCATCCATCACCCTCTCTTCTTTCTTCTTAAATATGGACACATATCTGAAAGATTTGATGGGAATGCAATAAAACATAAGGAAAATTAAAGAAACACAAAAACATAAGAAATAACGGAACTTACTACATCACAAGTAGTAAAAAGGGAGTATGCGACTTACAACTTCTTCCCTTGAAACACTGCTCCATGGAGGGAAGTGATAGCAGAAATGGCAGAATTGTGTGTTTCAAACTGAACATATCCAAAACATTTGCTCTTTCCATTTTCCTCCTCGACGACTTTGCAGGACACTATTTTGCCATATTTGTTAAACATGCTCTCTAATTGACCACTGGTGATAGACGGAGCAAGGTTCTTCACAAAAACATTTCAAATTCCAGATTTTCTTACTTTTGATTCCTTATGCCACCACATAATCCTCATCGCCTTTCCTCTCAGGGTTTTATGGTTTAGGCATGCCAGAGCCTTCATAGCTGATCATAAAAAAAATACATATATATAAATAATTATTTGCGGATTATAATCATTCAACCAAATTATGAAAATATATGTTAACTTCATGACCTTTTATTTTACATGCCCTGGTCTATAAAATTATAGGACCGAACTTAAGATTAAAAGCAAATATATATATATATATATATATATATATATATATATATATATATATATATATATATATATATATATATATATATATATATATATATATATTAGAAAAGTTGTATGATTTATTACCATGAGAGATATTGAAGAAGTTGACGAAAGCATAGCAAAGAGATTTCCCAGACTCAGCATCTTTGCGAATCCCAAAGGAATCCAGTGGGCCAATCACAGAAAATGTGGCCTCCAGGTCTGCTACGGTGGTTTCGGGGTGAAGATCGCCGACGTAGAGAGTATGTTGACAAAGAGTTTCCGACATCCCTAACAGCGAAAGTGATGGCACCTCAGCCATTTGTGTTTCTCAGCACCGGATTGTTTAGGAACTAACAAAAGAGTTTTTAACAGAGTGAAGTTAGAGATCGAGAGAGCTTTTGCGCTCTTAGAGATAAAGAGGCAAGTGATTAATCTTAGGAGTTAGAAAAGATTATTTATAAAGATTTGTAGAGGTATTCTTGGTGAATTAGGAACACCTAATACCAATGGACTTGGGAATAGCTATTCCCATGACAAAGAGGAATAGCACATTTCGAATCTTCTTCATCCCTCTTGTTTTTTCCCTCAGCTCGTCTTTCATTACCTTTTGTATCTGATCATTCTGAATTTCTGGTTTTCAATGGACCAACACACTCCTTTACGTAATATTGATTTACCTTTTAATTCTTATGGAGCATTACTTGGGATCCCTTTGTTCAGATTTGAGGACTCACGCCATCTCAAATGTTGAGTTATATGCATGATATATTGTGTGCGTAAGACAATAATAATAATAATAACAGATATGCACAAAATAACTAATAAGACTTGAACCTCAATCTCCAAGATGAAATACATTAAATACACATTTCTACCATTCCTCCACAAAGTCTTTCACATTTTTTTTTTTTTAATATCTTTAACTAGTTATAGGTAAAAATTAAATATTGAGTCCTTTTAAATTTGAGGCCCATGCTATTAATTGCACAATCCAAAATCCGGTCCTGAGTTATATAATTATGACCATAGAGTTCTGTAATTGTGAATATAGAGTTCAATAATTATGAACATAGAGTTTTATAATTATGAACATAGAGTTCAATAATTGTGAATATGAAGTTAAAAAATTATGAACATAGAATTTTATAATTATGAACATAGAGTTCAGTAATTATGAATATAGAACCGTGTCCACCTTGCAAGGTGAACACAGTTTCACGGCATAACAATCGTGTAACTCAACTAGGCTTTAATGTCAAGCTCAAACTCAACCCCAAATCTTCTTTTCCCACCATCATTTTGTTTTCTCAGAATACCACCGAAATCTCACTCAGCCTGGTTCAATTCTTGAAAGACAGACACAGATGGTTGTAGCAGATGCAGAGGGTATATGTGAAAATCTTGAAAACAGAAAGAGGATGGAGGAGAGTTGAAGAGCAATGGAAGAAAGGTGGTCGGGGTGAGGAGGTTGGTCTGGATACGTATTTGCAAGAAGAAGAAGAAAGCAATTAAAAAAATGACTATACTACCCCTCTACTTAACGCCACCTTAACTGATATTTAACGAAAGGACCGTTGCCGGAACAAATATAAAAGTCAAGTATTTTTTTTTTGTCAAAATAAACAATCGATGACCAATTTAAAAAAAGAGCAATAATTTGAGGACCATTGCTGAAATTAACTCTTAATTATATGATTATCCGTATTAACTTTCCGTTAATATTATTATATCTTCTCCGATAATCGCTAGGATTTTACTCCGCCCGTTGCGCACCCAAATTCTGGACAGTTTTACCGCCAGCCTATATGGATTCTCTTCCGCCACTTCCACCGTGATTCCGCTGCCACCAAATCCTTCTTTCGAACATTAACATCACGAATCTCCGCCATGTATTCTTCTACATTATTGCGATTATCTGCCTTCAGTTCCAACATATAAAAAACATCCACACATTGCGCAAATGTTAAAATTCACAGAGTCCCTTTGGTGGAGATCTCGACACTGATCTGCGTCGATGGGAAATCCGTCTGGTATGTATTAAATCTTTGAATAGAATTATGGATTTAATGTATTTGTAATTCATAGAATTAGCTTGCTTAATGCTGGTTTTTTAGTGGGACAAGTGAATTCATGAAGTTCCTGAACTGAGATTGGGCCTTTTATAGTTTTTTTTGATCGTTTTGTGAAGTTAACTGTAATTCTCCTTTTTTTTTTTTTCTTTATTTTTGTGTTCGACAGCTTCTGAACTGAAAGAGATGTGGTTTTTGTAAATTAACCCCTTTTGTAATTTTCTTCTTGAATGAACAGATCTTATGAAATATTCATTTTTAATTTTTTCTTTATATATGATAATTTGTCTCAAAAGAACTTTAGTTTTCTTTTGCTTAAGATACTGCTCGCTTTCTACCAACTCTAATCTCTTACAATTATCTAAAATTTGATTAGAACTATTGTATTGGCCGATCTTATTGATTTCTAACTTTTAAGTGGGAGAACTCTCTCTTGGCAAATGTTCCTGAGATATAACAAATGAGAAATCTCAATATTGTATCTAATTTTGAGTGGTGATGCACATTTGTAGAAGATTATATTTTTAATTTGGTAAATATTAAGTGCACTTTTAGTTATGCATCATTAGAAGATGGCGATTACTCTTTTTTTTTTTTTTTTTTTTTTTAATTTCCCTTGAAATAAAATGTGGTCATTTATTTGATTATAAGTTATTTTCTTGTGGCAATAAAAAAGAAGATGTACAAGTAATGAAGATGAAGAGAATGATAATGCTACTCAAAGAGAATTAAAAAGACTTAGATAAATTTAAATCAAATGTAGTTTTATTTACACTATTATTTTTAGACGTTTTTACAAAGTTGCAAACAATGCAATTATTTTATTGACAATTATAATCAATATTGACTATATTATCTTGCATTCATAAACTTAAAATTACCTATTTAAATACTTAAATTCAACATTCAATTATCTATGCATTAACAATTGCAATATAATCTTGCATTGATATACTTTAAAGTATTTATTCAAAAATAAACAATGACGTTATCTCATTCGCGCAATACGCGTGAAAACAAGTATAAGTAATAAACTTGAATTCGAACCTCTTGATTTTTGTCCAATCAAATGTTAAAAGGAAAAAAAAAAAAAAATCACAAGACATGAATTTGTAACTTTAATTGTAATATGTGTTTCATCACAATTAAAAGTTTAAGTTTTTTTTTTTTTTTTTTTTTTAATACTACAGACTCCGTTACAATGTAGTATTGTAACTACTTTCTCAACTTGAAGGTTGACAAAAAGTCAATACCGCCTCCACTGAGGCTTGGACGTACAACCTCCCATATGGGGGAGCGATTTGATTCCACTAGACTACAAGACATCTCCTCACGTGTGTCGTTCATTCTCAAAAGTATTTCCCTTTCGGCCTTCTTTAGTGCCCTTCCAACAAACAACTTCTTTGATCCTGGGATTGATGACAAAGAAATTAATTACATTAGCATAAACAATCAAATTCGAGGCATAAGAAATACTACATAATAATAAGCAACAAAGCATGCATTCATGCATGTATGTACGTAGCAAGTACCTATTAGTTGACCATTAAGAGCTTCAACCGCCATCTTAGCATCTTCATCCGAATCAAAGTTAACAAACCCAAAGCCTCTTGAATTCCCTTCTTCATCCCTCATAATCACAACATTATTGACATTTCCATATCTTGAGAATTTATCTCTTAAGAGATCCTCAGTCATATTGCAACCAAAGTTTTTCACATATAGATTAGTGAATTTTTGCTCTTTAAATGCATCCTTCACCCTCTCTTCTTTCTTCTTAAATATGGACACATATCTAAAAGATTTGATGGGAATGTAATAAACATTAGAAAAATTAAAGAAACACAATAATAGAGTAAATAACAGAACTTACAACATGCTCAAAGAAATTAAAAGACGTAAGATGCAGATCAGATAGATTAGCAAACAACAGAAATAACAAACAATTCCGATAGATTAGCAAACAACAGAAATAACAAACAATTTAAACTGATTAGCTAGTTAGATTGTTTGATTGAAACAATAATTTGAACCCAAAATCTACAAGCTGAAAGGTCAGGTTTTAAATTCTAAATTCAGAAATATATATATATAATATAAAGAAAGAATTGATGGGAAACCACATATTAAAAATCTATAAGCTCAATGGGTTGACCCATTAAGACACGAAACTGGCCTAACAATTCCGAAACACGTTAAGACTAAACACGAATCAATTATTTTCGTGTCAATAATTGGCATGAACTAAAAAGGGAGTAGGCAACTTACAACTTCTTCCCTTGAAACACTGCTCCATGGAGGGAAGTGATAGCAGAATTGGCAGAATTGTGTGTTTCAAACTGAACATATCCAAAACATTTGCTCTTTCCGTTTTCGTCCTCGGCGACTTTACAGGACAGTATTTTGCCATATTTGCTAAACATGTTCTCTAATTGAGTACTGGTGATAGAAAGAGCAAGGTTCTTCACAAAAACATTCCCAATCTCGGATTTTCTTACTATTGATTCCTTATGCTCCTTATGCCACCACATAATCCTCATTGGCTTTCCTCTCAGGGTTGTATGGTTTAAGCATGCCAGAGCCTTCATAGCTGATCATAAAAAATATATATATAAATAATTATTTGCGAATTATAATCATTCAATCAAGTTATAAAAATATATGATAACTTCATGTAGGACTTTTTTTTTTTTTTTTTTTTTACATGCCCCCGCATATAAAATAATAGGACCGAACCTAAGATTAAACGTAAATATATATAAACAGTAGAAAAGTGGTATAGTTTGTTACCATGAGAGACATAGAAGAAGTTGACAAAAGCAAAGCAAAGAGATTTCCCAGACACGGCATCTCTGCGAATCCCCAAGGAATCCAACGGGCCAATCATAGAAAATGCAGCCTCAAGGTCCGCTGCAGTGGTTTCCCGATGAAGATCACCCACGTAGAGAGTATGCCCCCACAAAGTTTCTGACATCCCTAACGTCAGCCAAAGTGGTGGCACCTCTGGGAGCTCCGGCATCGTATTGGTTAGGAATTAACTAACAAAAGAGTTTTTAATTAAAAGAGTGAAGTGGGAGAGAGAGTTTTTGCTTCTTAGAGATAGAGAGGCAAGTGATTAATCCTAGGAGTTTGAAAGAGATTATTTATAAAGGTTTATAGAGGTATTCTTAATGGATTAGGAATACCTAATACCAATAGACTTGGGAATAGCTATTCCCATTGCAAAAAGGAATAGAGTACATTTTGCATGTGTTCGCTGTTATCATTCGTTGCCTCTTCCATCATTTGTAAGTAAGATTTTTCACCGTAAGATTGTTTTTCATCGATCCGTTTCTGAACTTGGATTTTTCATTTCAACAAGAAGTTTTTTTTTTTTTTTAAATTTTTATTACAAAGGAAGGGGAATACCCATACAAACTACGCCTACAACGAGACTCAAAACCTAGACCTCCGACATAGGAGAGCAAGTCAATACCAATGGACCACAAGCCATATGGTACCTATTTTTCATTTTAATTGATTTTAGAAATTAAAATTCGAGGTGTAATTTTAATAAATCACAGTACTTTGTGTGTGTGATCACATTACCCACATATAAGAAAATTATTAATTTCTTAATGTGACTATGCTAAATATCCTTATAATTACACTCCCTACATCGGATGTGTTGTCTGATTATTATTATTATTATTATTTGATACATAGATTCCTTATTAACCAAATGGGTTTGAGCAAACTTTAAAACGTATAATATATTAAACTAATCTTCTTAATTAGGAGGACCAAAATTCACTTTGACCGATCAAAATTGAGGGTGAACTTTACTCAAAATATTATCTCAAAATGACCACTTAAAATGTTATTTGTTGTTAATTTTTCCAATAGATTGAAATATTAAGGTGCGTATATTTAAAACTTAAAGTGCGTCACTTTTTTAATTTAAGGTGCTTGGATTTATAACTTTGAAAATCAATTTGAGATCATTGCAGTGACGTGACTATAGAATCTTCAGAGGCTTTAGAATTGAATACAGACTATAGTCTTCAGATGCTATAAAATTAAATCTTGTAGGTCCTTTTTTTTTTTTTTTCTTCATTTGAGTTATTGATCTAGATTTGATCTAGACTCAGATTTCAACCCATCTTTCACTGCTTCCCACCTGCTCTCTTCCATTACTTTAAATATCTAACTGTTTTAAAATTTGAATAGTAGTTCATATACAAATTACCCAACAATTATATGTTAATATATTTTGATATTAAGATTAATATATTATCTAATTAATTCAAAAAAATAAATATCGTTTTTCAAGCAGAAATCACAATGGTGGTAGAACTATAAAAATACAAATATTACTTAAAACTCCAATTCCACAATGCCAAACACTGAAATACCAACAATATAATGCACACTCGACTACTTACACAACACAAACCTTTGCTATTCAGGATTCACCTATTCCTTCTTAGGTCAGCTTTACTTCTAACGATGATCATACCTGTCTTGGACCCGAAATTATCAACAACCTTTCTGCTGACATATTTACAGTCTATATACTGGCTTACACAACAAGAGAAAGAATAAATAAAGAATTACACGCAGTAGAATACCGTCACTTGTCACCTTCTCTGATCTGATCATTACTGTGTGGTCTAGGCAACTCATGTGTATTGGTTGGATGTACTGTGCTCGCGGTTGAATCCATACTGCAAAACAAAATTGGGAACAAACAGAAGCGAGTTAAGAAACCAATGGAGAATGCCCTGCTTACGATACTTAGAAACTTCATTGACAAACTATCGAAACAACATGAATGCTAAAGGCTAAAGCATAAATATTGATGAAAATATGTTTCTTTCCAGTCCTTTTTTGGACCATGTACTCTAAATTGAGTGTGTTGATAGACATCTCACAGCCATCACATCCCGTTACAAACTATAATACCATAACACAACCATTTTTGAGGAAAAGGTATCAACTATGGGTGAGAACCTTGACATGGCTCCTTGCCTCCTCCTAAGCCCCAACCTAACCGTATCCAAGGCACTAGTATTTTGTAGAATATTGAAAAGCAAGAAGAAGAAATATGAGTCGCTCTCTTAATGGAACATGTATTAGTGGTGTGCAATTTAATCTCTAATATTTTTTTTCCCGATCTTCATATATCATTCATGATGGATTAAACAAGAGGCAGATCAAGAAAAAAGCCCAGGACAAGTTCAAGACTTCAACTCCACTCTTTCTATTTAGACAACCACACTAGCCTGAGTGGTAGAAAGAAGTGTCAATGAGATGCTGATGTTTTACACTATGTAGGAGGATCAATACCTTAAACCTCATCCTTGAACTCCATACGTCAGAATGCCATGCACTGCCCTCGCCCTTTGCCAGCCCAGGTGTTTGGCTTACACAGGGATCAAGCAATGGCTCCCAGGTTCTTTCTCTAGCATCATTACCTCCCTCAATATCATTGTCAACTTGCTGGTTGACCAATGCTCTGAGGATTATTGCAAGAAACAATGTTGAAGCCTGAAAAAATGTATAAATAATACAAGAGTAGCACGTATCATATCACAGATCATACATTGAACAAAGAGCATATAGGAGGTATGCAGCAATGATATACAATACTAATATGCAAACACATAAATAAAGAAACAAATAACATAACCAACAGAGAACTGAAAATATTGGTAGCCAATGTAGACCGTTACATGCCTGAACTATGATGACCACAATGCCAATCCACTTACAAACATCCACATTATCTTCAATGAAGTTGCGTAAGCTATCAATTTCTCCAGTTGGATCAAGTGGCAGATCCTAGAATTGTATGGTAAGAAGTATATAAGCAAGGATATACAAAACTTCGACAAGCAAGTATGAAGACATTTCTATAAAGATTTGTAGCAAGTATGAAGACATTTCTATAAAGATTTGTAGCAAGTATGAAGACATTTCTATAAAGATTTGTAGCAAGTATGAATAAACAAATACCGCTTCCCAGTGGTGATCAAGTGCAATGAAGGCCACCAAACTTGCTTCCAACAGAACAAACACTGTCATAAGTAGAGAATACTGCCAGTTTCATTAGGTCAAGGATAGCAAGAATAAAAGAAGGGCACTAGTAATCATCCAGTGAAGTCCTTTTTTTTGTTCTGAATGTTGAAAAAGGTGCAACAGATATAACTAAAGAAGAAAGAAATAAAAGAGAAAAGGAATAACTACTGAAAATGGGGAAAACTTTTCAAAATTCTTTACAAAGTTTGACTTCTCTTTTGTAATTTTTCATGTATTTTTGATTAATGGAATAAGTTCACCTTAGCTCTAATACTCAGTATGATATAAGCACGAAGCATCTGTTTCCTTTTCTTTTCCTCGTGTCTTGTTTTTATTTGTACCAAAATCAAATGGACTTAAATAAAAACATATTCCCAGATGACCATGTGCCAGTAATTCTTCTGATAGACAAAACCAATATGCTATAACCTATAAAACTGATCTCTTCACTTGAATAGACACGTATCAAAAAAAACGTTAGCACAACCTAAAAAATCCCTGATTTTCATATATAATCAAACTTTCAACTTTTATTTGGAAATGCAAAGAAAGAACACCACATCTACGACTAAAGTACTAGTGATGAATTCTCATGTAAGTTTTAATTTGAAGAACGACTAGAAAGAGTGTTCCAGAGATCGATAATTCAATTAGTCCTATTTGCAGTGAGACAAGCTACTGCTATTGGAAAGGAAGAGCAGAGCAGCGTGGTGTCACAACTACTATAGTGGAAAGTTTGTAAGGCAAAGGCTACTTCTATAGTTATGATTATCAAAGGATACACAGCAAAGACAACAGCCATTGATTGCTTCAGCCCCAACATGGCCGATGAATGAGATACAGCACAACAGCGCACCAAATCCCATAAATGCATATATGAACCTGTCAAGGTAAACACAAACAGAAATAAACAAATAAATGCTGAAGCACAGAAGCAGGGCATCATACCACAATATCTTGACATAAAAAAATCTCCATCCATCATTAATAACACTCTGAAATTCATAAATAATTGAAACAGAGAACGAAAAATAATACCAAGGGGCGGGGAGCGAATGGGAGTTGATGTTGATCCCATCTCCGACACCAGAAAATACAGAATTGATGGAAGCGATGCCATCGGAAACCCTAACCGAGTCGAAATTCGCCAATTGAGCTACCGGAAAATGCGGACGGGGAAGATGAAGGAGGAGGAGCAGCTGCGACGTGGTGCTGCCATTGCTCGAGCATGTAAGCTGAATATACGATGATGGAGATGCCGACGAAAGCCTGTAGAAAATTCAGGAATTTCAAGCAATTTGTAGGACTCTTATCTATCGTACTAGCATTTTGTAAGCGCGCGAAAATTTATGCACAGTATTAAAACCTTAATAAATATAAGTAATTAAAATTATAATTCGAATTATATATACACAAATAATATATGTATGGGAAAATGACATTTTTTCTCCCTGAATTATATATCGATAGTATTTTTTTTTCCTAAATTATTGAAGTGGCTGTATTTCCCCTAAATGTTAAATGGACATATTTACCCTTAAACTAAATATTTAATTTATTTTTTTCTCCAACAAATTATGACCATAATTTGGTTCAAACTAAACAAACACTATAGCAACCAAACCGAAATATTCCAATTACAATTTATAATCGAAATTCGATATTTAGAGTTTATTAAAATCGTGAACCGGAACGGACGATTCATGTTCCGAACTGAAAAAATAAAATACATTTATTGTTGAATTTAGATTATTTTAAAATAAAAAATAAAATTTTAAAATAAAGACAGTTCAAAACCGCGAATCAGATCCGGAACCGCCGGTTCACGGTTCAAGATTCAATTTTTTTGATACATAATTTTAATAAATTGACATTTAAATATTGGGTTCTAGATTTGAATTATAACCGTAAACTATTAATTCGATTGCTTTAGTATCCGGTTCAATTCAAATCGAACCG